CAGAAATCACTCTAATATGCTGATTTGCTGCTCAAGAAACATTTATTTGAAATATAAATATATAATGTCTTTACTGTCGCTTTTCATCAATTTAATGCATCCTTATTTAAATAAAAGTATTAATTTGCTTTCCTTTTTTATATATTATGTATCCCATACTTTTGAATAGTAGTGCATCTGTTTCCACAAAAAATATTCAGCAGCACGACTGATAATAATCAGAAATGTTTCTGGAGCAGCAAATCAGCATATTAGAATGATTTCTAAAGCTCGTGACACTGAAGACTGGAGTAATGATGCTGAAAATACAGCTGCGCATCACAGAAATAAATTACAGTTTAACAGATATTCACATAGAAAACAGCTGTTTTAAATTATAATAATATTTCATATTTTTACAGTATGTTTGATCAAATAAATGCAGCCTTGGTGAGCAGAATATACTTTTTTATTCAAAAACAATATATATATATATATAAAAAATGTAATCATTCCAATCATTTGACCATTAATGCACATGCTAGTTTGTTCATATGCATTTATCAAATGTTATAGATTGTTGCTTTAAAGTTATGCTCTGTCCGCAGCATTTGTTGTCAAATAATAATTTTGACTTTTCACAGTTTTTTAAAGCAAACATCCCACTTACAGTAACTCACAGAGCCTTATATTTGTGTTAAAACATAACTTGAATTATTCAGTGATAATGGTGATTGTTTTCTATGTGTTAGGATAACTAAAAGCCTAAATAAAAAATATTTAATTTAATAATCATCATATAAAGTGAACGTGTGTCTTCAGAATACTTGGATTAAACCACTTGATTTATTATGTTTTATAAACTTTTTGAAGCATTTAATCAAGCTCAAAATATCTTAATTTGTGTTTGGAAGATGAACCAAACTCTTATGGGTCTGGAAGGACTTTGAGTGAGTGACTGATGATACGTTTTTCTGTCCAAATTCACAGCTAAATCAGCAAAGCACACTAATTAAGACACACACAGAAAAATAAATAAATAAATAAAATGTGCTAATTAATGTGCAAAAAAATACAAAATAAAAAAGTAGTTAACCTCACTAATTGACTGGTCGTTTGCTGGTGTGATTCTACCGTAAGCGCCTTATTGTTGCATTTTTTAATAAACTGAGAAACAAGTTTAAATAATTTTCTGTGATGATCGACATTATGCCACAGACGCTATCAATAGAGCTTAAGCCGTATTGAACCCGAGCGTTGCTTTAATCTAGAAAATCGACTGTCTACAGAATCTACTGCGCCTATAGAATACATATCATCTATATGAGACGGCAATCAGATATTTAGAACTGAAATATTATTGCTGGCAGTGCTGCAGGCCTCATTATGTACTGTATATGTACTTTACAGCAATGTGTGTTATTATGCATATGACATACAGTGTGTGATTGATGTTGTTGCACATCTTGAGGATTGTCATAAAATGCTTCTGCAAAGGCCCAGTAATGAGCACGATCATTTATATGCGATTCCCTGATCAATATCCAGTCGTATTGATTGTTGGGATTTGCTGTGATCAATGGCGCTCAGCTGGAGCTGCTATATGTGTTATTATTTTTATGGCTGAATGCACTCAGACTCACCGGAGTACATCATTATTTATGATCTATAGATGGCATTTTCCCATTCTCCTCTCTCTGTCTCGCCTTTCTCTTTCAATGCACTAAATTAAGTGATATTAATGCTCTGCGACTATGCTTCTGTACGTCTAATGAAGATTAAACAAAAACAATCGTGTCATTTTCACTCGTCTACATTATAATGCTTAATATTTATTAGCGGGATTATTTTGAGTTCACATTCAGAGTAAGAACTGTAGTGGTTTCTTGTTCTGGAGATTTTCAATTAGCACCACGGATGTGTGTCGTCTGTAATCGTTATATTCTCATACATGGTTTATGTGACACTTAAAGGACTAGCTCACCTAGAAGTGATCACTGTCATTGTTTACTCTCCTCGTGTCATTATAAACCTGTGTGAGCTTGTTTCTTCCGAAAGAAAGATGTTTTGAAGGATGTTAGTAACTGAAACGTTTTGGTGACCATTGAAATCAACAAAAAACCCAAACAAACAAACAAAAAAAACTTTATCAAACTATCTTTGTTACGCAGAAGAAAGAAGAAAGTCATAAAAGTTTGAATGATCTTTTTCCTGAAAATGCTAGTTAATTTTATTGCATTGGACTAAAACGCACTGACTTTGCTCACATAGGCTATAACAACTTTCCACAAAAACGGATTTATTATTATTATTATTATTTTTAATATTATCCCCCCCCACCTTGTTACGCTTGTTGTGTTCCCAGTCAACACATTGTGTAACAAGGTGGGGGTTTGATTTGCCCCATACCTTATATTATATTACGCATACCATATTGCGTGAGTACCGACAAGCTGCATCAGAGCCAAATAACGCATTTCAAAATTAAATTATTTTGAAATAATTTTTCAATGATTGAAAATGACCGATATTGAAAATGCTTAATATCAGCACTGATAATCGGCCAGGCTAGACTTAAGTCAGTTATGATGTTCTTTGGTAATGTAAATGTTCTTTACTAGTTTTGAATAACTAAGGGAATGTAACCGTTTGATTAACTGCTCGTCGTCAAACATTTCAAGAACATTCTTCCTCTCCTGAAAGATTTGCGCACGTATACGTCTCTGTCTCCTCAGCGCCATCACAAGCCCCTGCTGGCAACTCCTAACCACTTGAGAGACCTCTCGAGCTGTCTTAAAGAACTGGGAGAGGAAGAGTGATTCTTAGCTTTAAGAAATTTGATAACTTGCTTTTATACTTAAGTTTGAAAGTAGGAGTAAATTTAATGAATTCTCAGCACTTAAGACTAAAATGGCACTTTGAGAAGCTTGATAAATATGGGCCCTGGTCTTGAGTTGAGAGTCAGACAGCAGCTAGAGGTTATAAAGTCTTCTTGGCATCAGTTCCGCCGACCCCACAGCCGTCTGATTGCTTGTCCAGTGCCTAACTCTTGTGTTTGCTGAATGGAGATTGTCTGTGGGAATAAGGCGGTCTCGGGCTCCCTGCGTGTGCGCGCTCGAGGGATGACGGCGCTGATTTCTTCATCACCCCAACACAAACACTTTACGAGCGGCCCGTTTCCCAGAAGCCTCCCCGCCTGTGGTGTGGCGTCCCTGCTGAGGTGCGTGTCAGCAGACGATTTCCATCTGATCTTGAGCAATGTGTGTTTTATGCTAAGCTCCTAGAATGTAATTAACAATTTAATGGGAATCATGTCGAGCCGGTCCCCGGGTGAAGGCAGCGGTAGATCGAGGAGTTTTTATAAGTGTGTCTCTGAAGGGAACTGACTGTCTAAAGAAAACGTTTTGATGGCATTTTCTTTTTGTCTTCTAAGCAATGCCTAATACAGTGATGTTTCTGAGCACAGCTCTGCTTTGTGTTACCGCTGTGTTTCTGCTATGAATTGGCATTTCCATCCAGTCCATCTGATGCTTTTGTTCAGACCAATGTAAAAAAATATATTTAAATTAAATAATATTCAAATGATTTTGTTATTTAAAAAAAAATGTAATTATATAAAAAATATATATACAAATGTAAATCAAACTGAAATTGAATTTAAAAATATTGGTTTAAATAATTAATATAAAGAATTATAAATAAAATGTAAATTATATATATATTTCAAACAATGGTTGAAAAGTGAGTTTTGTCTTTATATACAGCTATTTGTTTTTTGTCAAAACTTAAACTGTAAACTTTTTTTTTTACCATGTTATGGTTTAGGATGTTATGTTGTTTTAGTGTTTTTTGTGTGCTATTTGTAGTTTTTATTAATATTTTGAAGTAGCTTTTATTTTTATATTTTATGTTTAAGTAATTTTGTTATGTATTTTTGTAATTTTTATTTATTAATATTTTTATTTTACTATTAAGGTTTAATTTATTTTTGTTTTGGTTTTAGTTTAGTGTTTTTGTGTGCGTGTGTGTGTGTGTGTTTGTGAGTGTGTGTGAGTGTGTGGTGTGAGTGTGTGTGTGTGTGTGGTGTGAGTGTGTGTGTGTGTGTGGTGTGAGTGTGTGTGTGTGTGTGGTGTGAGTGTGTGTGTGTGTGTGGTGTGAGTGTGTGTGTGTGTGTGGTGTGAGTGTGTGTGTGTGTGTGGTGTGAGTGTGTGTGTGTGTGTGGTGTGAGTGTGTGTGTGTGTGTGGTGTGAGTGTGTGTGTGTGTGTGGTGTGAGTGTGTGTGTGTGTGTGGTGTGAGTGTGTGTGTGTGTGTGGTGTGAGTGTGTGTGTGTGTGTGGTGTGAGTGTGTGTGTGTGTGTGTGTGTCTGTCTGTGTATGAATGTGAGTGTGAGTGTGTGTGTGTGCGTGTGCGTGTGCGTGAGTGTGTGCGTGACTGTGTGTGGTGTGTGTGTGTGTATGTGTGTGTGTGTCTGTGTCTGTGTCTCTGTGTGAGTGTGAGTGTGTGTGTGTGCGTGTGCGTGTGAGAGTGTGTGTGTCTGTGTGTGTGTGTGTGAGAGTGTGTGTTTGTGTGTGAGTGTGTGTGCTTGAGTGTGTGTGTGTGTGTATGTGTGTGTGTGTCTGTGTCTGTGTCTCTGTGTGAGTGTGAGTGTGTGTGTGTGCGTGTGCGTGAGTGTGTGTGTGACTGTGTGTGTTGTGTGTGTGTGTATGAGTGTGTGTGTATGTGTGTGTGGGCGCATCACTGATTTGTTGACTCCTCCCTCTTTTTGTGACAGGCATCAATGTATCTTGCTGCTAGTAAGATACAATCTTGTTTTTCACCTAATAAATACTGAAGTTGTGTTTTATTTTTTTTGTACATTTTGAAGTCAGGGCAAAGTACTTCAAATTTGGGATACAATGTGTTTCTAATGTGTTGATAGTTGGGGCAGCTCTGTGAGTACAGCAAGGGCAGATGCGGCTCTCTCTGGGCAGCCAGTGCTGTGGATATCTGCCCATCTCTATGGTCAGAGTGTGATTGCTCAGTCTGTACCTCGTCATCTGTCTTCTTAATTTACAATCTTGCACTGTACTCAGATATTCTGCAGCTGTGTAATCTCTGTTTAGGGCCAAATAACATTCAAGTTTACTTAGTTTTTCTGTTGTTTCAGTCTAATATGTTAGATAATTTTCTTTTTGTGCTTTTATAATTTGGTTGGGCCGGATTTCGTGGATGAATATTTCAGTGTCCTGATGCTGGATGTTGTTAGTCATGCTAGTTTGTTTCTGCAGCTTCAGGAGCATCTGAATCAGGGGACTTTTTTCAGTGTTCTCTCTCTCTCTCTCTGTCTCTCTCGGTCCATCGCAGCTCCGTTCTCCAAGCTGCTGGTCACCTGGGGCCCAGAGTCGGCCCTGAAGCCCGGCGATGCGGTGGCCCTCAGCTGCGTTGCGTACGGAGGTTATCCTGAGGCAGAGGTGCTCTGGCAGGACGGAGCTGGACACAATCTGACCCACAACGTCACCGTCTCACAGGTGGCCAATGAGGAGGGTCTGTTCAGCGTGAAG